CTTTTGACCTAGCAACTTCAATCCCAAGGAAGTATCTCAACTAGCCCAGGTCTTTGATCTCAAATTCAGCAGCCAAGAACTCCTTTAGTCTTTTAATCTCTTCCTGACCATCCGCTGTAATCACCATATCATCCACATAGACAATAAGTGTTGTAAGTTTGCCATTTTTCTTCCTTATGAACAAGGTATGATCTGCCCCACTTTGAGTGTAACCCCCTTTCTTCATGGCCCCACAAAGCTTCTCAAACAAAGTTCGAGGAGACTGCTTAAGACCATATAATGCTTTTCTCAGTCTATACACCTTCCTGCCAAACCCATAACTTGGTGGAGAATCCATGAATACCTCTTCATGTAGATCGCCATTTAGGAAAGCATTCTTCACATCCAACTGATGTAGCTCCCATGAGAAGTTTGCAGCTAATGACAATAGAACTCGGATTGTATTGAGTTTTGCTACTGAAGCAAAGGTTTCTTTGTAGTCAATCACTTATTTTTGAGTAAACCCTTTTGCTACAAGTCTGGCCTTGTACCTTTCAATGGACTCGTCCTCCCTATGCTTTACAGTGAACACCCACTTGCATCCAACAGTGCTTTTCCCTTCCGGTAGATCCACTAATTCCCAAGTCCCTGCTTTCATTAAGGCTTTCATTTCTTCGTTCATAGCCTCTTTCCATCTTGGGTCGGACATTGCCTCTGAATACCTAGTAGGGACATGTACAGAAGAAAGAGCAGACACAAAAGAACAATAACGAGGAGACAAATGTGAGTAAGACACAAAATCAACAACGAGGTGTCGGATAGTACAAGAATGGGTAGACTTACGAAGGGCAATAGGAAAATCCAAGTCAGAGGGATGTGTGATAAGATTACCTGGAGTTGCTGAGACAGGTTGATCCGAGTCCAATTAGTTGTTGTCATGAGTTAGAGAACCCTTTTTCCTTCTGTTGTAGGTGATTCTTATATCTTTTTGTTGCCTGCTGGAGTCTTCTGTAACATCTGCAACATCACGAGTAGTAGCTGGTACAATGGAAGCCTCACTAGATTCACCCGGGATACCACAACTAGGAGGATCAGGAGGAGAAGACAGAAGGTCCGAGGCTGAAAGAGGCACAAAGAAGGAGGGAACAGAAGAATCTTCTTCCATCCCACTAGTCTCCCCATGAAGAGGATTCTGGGAAGAATGAAAATAGGATTGAGACTCAAAAAATACCACATCTTTTGTGACATTTTTTCTTGGTGACTAGATCATAACACTTGTAACCCTTCTGTGTAGGAGAGTACCCCAAAAAGATTCCTTTCATAGTTCTAGGATCTAGTTTGGTCTTTTTAGGATCCTTTACATGTATAAAACATACACAACCAAAGACTCTCGGTGGAAGAGAAAAGTCTGGAAGATGAGGGCAAAGGACAGAGAAAGGAGTTTTAATCCCCAATACCTTGGATGGCATTCGATTTATCAAATATGATGTAGTAAGGACTGCTTGAGACCAATAGTGTTTGGGAACCTTGTGCTGACATAGTAAGCCTCGAGCAGTCTCCAATAGATGTCTATTCTTGCGCTTAGCAACCCCATTCTGTTGGGGGGTACTAGCACAAGATGACTGATGGATCATTCCAGCATCCTCCATAAACAGGTTCAAGGATCTTTCAAAATATTCAGCAGCATTATCTGACCTAAATTGTTTAATTTTCTTGCCAAATTGTATTTCAATCATTTTGTAAAATGTTATGGTTACCCGTGGCACTTCATCACGTCCTTTTAACAAGTAGATCCATGTGCATTGAGAGTAGTGATCAATAAAACTGATAAAGTACCGAAAGCCATCAACAGAAATAAGGGGTGAAGGGCCCCAAACATCAGAGTGGACTAACTCAAAAGGAGATTGAATTTCATTACTAGAAATTGGATAAACAGTTCTACATTATTTTGATAGCTGACATACTTCACAAACTAAATTTTGACTTGAAACACCTTTGAATAATTCTGGAAACAACACTTCTAATGATGAAAAAGGTAAATGACCTAGCCTAGCATGCCACAGATGTAACCTAGCTATTGACTCCACATTGGACTGACTACTAGTAGTAGATGTTTGTAAGGCCGAGCTGATGTCTGCATCAAGGTAGTAGAGACCTCTACACTCATGATCGCTCCCAATTGTTCTCTTCGTCAATTTGTCCTGAAAGACACAATGAGTAGGAAAAAAGGTTATGCTACAGATAAGAGATTTGAAGAAAGATTGGGAACATGCAAAATAGATTTAAGTGAGAGGTCCTTGCTTAGGTCAACCACCCCTTTCCTAGAGATGGTAGAGAGAGAACCATCAGCAACCCTCATCTTATCTTGGCCAGACAATAAATGATAGGAAGAAAATAGAGAAGACATATGTGTCATGTGGTCAGTTGCACTGGAATCAATAATCCAAGAGGCAGGATCAATAGAACTAGTTGCACTAAAAGCAGAGACAATACCTGATCTGGCTAGGGAGGTGGAAGCAAGAGAATTGGTTCTTAGACGGGCTAGTGCCCGACTAAGTACCTTTACCTCAGCAGCAGTGAAACCCAAGGACCCGTGTCCGGAGGAATTAGCAATCTATCCCATGGGAGAAGAAGTAACTGTGGATGAGTGTTTTGAGCTATCATCACTGTGACTAGCAACCAGATTCCACTTGCAGCTTGACCCTTCTGATGCTTCTTATCTTTCCTCAAAGCAGCTGGTTTCAGATGCGGATAGAGAACCCAACAAGTCTCTTTCACATGCCTTTCTCCTCCAAAGTGGGTGCACTTCAGATGCCTCTTGTCCGAGTACTTATTCCTCTTTTGATTTGTAGAAATTAGGGCCGAATGTTCAACAGGCTGTTCAGCTGGCTTAATTTGAGTATCAACTTGCATTTCTTTTCTTCTAACCTCTTCATTCCTCATGTGGTAATAGACATGATGTAAGTCTGGCATTTCATCCCTTCCCAGAATTTGGGACCTTATGCCCTCATATATTGGATCTAAGCCAGCCAAAAATTTAAATGCTCTGCCCTCTTCAATTTGTTTGTCATGCCTTTCCTTGTCTCTGGCATTCTCCTAATCAAGAATAAGGTGATGATCTAGCTCTTCCCATAGTCCTTCTAAGGTAGCAAAATATGTTGCAAYAGTCATATCCCCTTGCCTCAAGGCAGCAATGTCTTGATTCAGTCTATAAATTCTGGCATTATTTTTTCTCTACCCATAAGTTTTAGACACTTTCTCCCATATCTTGGCAGCAATGGAGAAATGTTGAACAGTCCTAGCTACCCTTGGAGTCATTGAAGCAAGTAGCCAGGACATAATAGTAGCATTCTCCTTATGCCAAACTGCATATTCCACACTACCCACTTCAGGTTCCTTCTTCAGCCCGTCCAAATAACCAATGAGTTCTCGGGGTGTGATGAAGAGCATGGCTGAAACAGACCATTCTCTGAAGTTGTACTCATCCAACAACACATTAGTGATCTGCAGGCTATGTAGATTTGGATTCTCCAGATTAGGAGACCTCACACCAGTCCTAACATCTCTAGAAGACACTTCCCCAGATATAGAAGACATATTCTCCTACTTGCAAAGATCAAAGCCGTGAACACAATATACAGAAAGCTGCTTCAGACTTACGGAACTTGTTGCACTGCAAACTTAGTCCTGAGAACCCGTAACAGAGCTGAAACCACGAGCACCACACGGCTGCACTGTGCTCTAACCACTGCTGTCGCAGGCTGTAATCTGTTGTGTTGACTTCTGCTGTGTTCTAATCACTGCTGTCGCAGACTGTAATCTCCTCTACGACCAGTTCTAGGACTGCCGCAATCAGTCCTCCCACCTAGATTTGTTCAACACAGATCTCTCTTAGCCGAATGGCTACAATCTGCTGTACTGAGTCTAGTGGGGCATCAACTTCTGGGACTAACTCCCCTTGGGCCCTACAACCAAGGAAAAACCTAGATGTAGGTCCTACTGTGTTCTACGACCAACCCTAGGGTTTCTTTGCAGCCACCAAGATAGAAAAGAAAGAAAAGAGAGTTAGAAGAGGAGCGGCGGCTGTAACCAGGTGAAAGATTAGAGCTCTGATACCATGTTTGCTGGAATACAGTTGCCGAAGGAGAAGAGAAGAAGAAGAAGAAGAGGAAGATTTGAGAATGGCGGCAATAAAAATCTCTCAGCCGACCCTACTCTATTATAAATAAGTGTATTACATAATGTTACATAAATAGACTAGAATGCCCCTGATTAGTGATGGGACACCTAGACAAATAAAACACTAAATAAGATTAGGCCCAATAACTAAGGCCCAACAACTAATGACTTAAGACCCAACAACTAATGACTTAAGACCCAACAAAGATAAGCATACATATTAAGACAGCCGAACCAACAATTTCCTTCTTCCCTTCCCTTCCCTATAGGGAAATTGGAGAACCGAGACTCTTCCCTTGTTTTAGAGAGATCCAAATTGGGTACTCAGCTAATATTCAACATTTTTTGTCTAAGACGTTGCAAAGATGTTAATTACAAAAAGCAATCATTTTTGCCGTCACTTAGAACTGGCAGGAATAAGAGTGTAACCCATCTCTCCACCAGGTATGTCCCTTTTTATACATTAAAATACATCTGCTTCTACGCATTGAAAAGAGTTAAAAATTCAAACATTCCCTTTAGAACACGGTGGCCTATAAGCAGCCCTAGTGAGAAGAGTTTCAGAACTTTCATCTTAGCATTGGGTTCTAAAGTTTGTTTTTTTTTTTTTTTCAAAGCCTGGGTTGATTATACACATTAAAAAAAACTTCCAATGAATTCACCATTTGAGAACATCAAATACATTTGTAGAGGCAAACAAATAAAATAAAAACAAAAACAAATATATATATATATGTAACATTATGGAACAAACAGAAAAACAAATAAAAATTGAATGCACTCACTATTGAATGATTAGGTATTCAGACTTTTTTGGGAGAGCTAAATACTTAAAAACATACTTTGCTGTGCCGTTCAAGTGAAACGAATGGAGCAGATTATTCCTTCAATAAAAACCATGTGTTGTTCCCTCCAATTAACTCAGTTGACGTATATCAATCGAGCAGATGAATGAGGATGATGCTGAACCCCTTTCTTGTCTATCTTCGATCAGAACCTGACCTATTTATTCTCAAAAGAACGAAAACTTTAAACCTTTGGGATTAAGGGAAAACTCAAACTTTGTGTTTGTACCCAACTAGAAGAGGAAGGGGAGAGACGAAATCGGAAAGTGTAAACTAACTTTGAGATTAAGGGAAACTCCAAATAGAAGAAGGGATACTCCAAGGTTGGAGTATTGAAAACTCTAAGGGAACTCTGCGTTGAAGAAGACCTCCAAAGGGAAACACAATAAGGGGAAACTCAATAAGGGATACTCAAAGACTCCAAAGGGAAACGCAAACTACATAAGGAAAGGGGAGATTCCATGTTGAATAAAAAAACGGGGGAAGGAAGTCGACGGTGTTGAATAAAAAAAGGGGAGATTCCATGTTGAATAAAAAAACGGTGCCACTTCTCAATTTTTTTGTAATTTTTAACCGGTTCGATATTGGTTAATGGCCGGTCTAATTTATAAAACCGCCGGTATATTTGACTTTGTGCTTAATTTATCTCAAAGTCGACGGTGTTGTTAAAACCGCCATCCTAGACATCTAGGCCGGTGCTTTTTCAAACCGCCGGCTAGCCGGTTTTTCTTGTAGTGAAGATTTATGATTTCCACCGAAGAGCTATAAACATTTAAAAGTACAACAACCCACACTCTATGCACCAATGGCTGCCCATGAATTGGCATCATTCCGAGCTGGCACCTACCCCGACAATACTTTGAGTCTAGAAATTCTAACTATAGGCTGATCGGTCATTCTCCCAACAATGGAAGCATAAAATAGCGCCTCTACAAGAAAGACACGAAATTGCCTTCTTTAACATGACATAGAGGCATTTATTTTGCACCACCACTGGCCAAGTGCCTCTAAATTTACATATTCTAGTAGTGCTTCTTATATGTTTTGGAGTGGTTTCAACTTGTATAGAACTTATTGACCTTCTCCTGTACTGCATCATCTTTCCTAGGGTGGGGGGAATTTGTCCTTGGATTCAAATCATCATCTGATTGATCTCCAATATATGATACCAAGTGTTTGACATTGAAAACATCATGGGTAGGTATATGGCTAGGGGTAGCTTTAATCTGTAAGCATTCTCATTAATGACTTTAACTATCTCGTATGGTCCAACCTTCCTTAATGCTAGCTTTCCACGTTGCCCAACTGGTAGGTGTTCCTCTATTAAAATGACCCAAACACTGTCACCTGCATCAAATACTACTTTCCTCCTATACGTATTAAGATGGGTCTTCGAAAACCAACTTTGTAAATGTTTAATCAATTACCCTGAATCTCATATTGGATCACAGAGCCACTGTATCCATTTCTCAATCAAAATTTTTGTAGTGTAATCTAGCCATCTAGGACATGAAAAAACTTATCTAATGACCTTATAAAGGACATAAAAGTAAGAGGTGAAGGAAGTGATCACACATACTATTAAACAATAACTTAAGTTCAACTAATTAATGAACCAAAAATGTGAAACATTGAGCTTACAAGTACGAGGTTACACAATAGAGAGCTCAAAAGAATGCACTTCATGATTCAAAAAAAAATTGATAAAAGGAAAAAGGGGAAATTATAAAAAGAAAAGCAATCAGTGGTGAGTTAGTTATTTATACTAACATGAACAAGATTCAAAGGAATGCTCAGACATTGCTTAAGTGTCCCATGAAGACCCTTTGATGTTTGATGAGCATCTGCACTACTATTGGTTGATAAGTCACAAGTACTGCAGCTGTTACTCGAGTTGATTCATCAGAAGCTTTAGTTCCATTATTGTACTTTTTACTTTGACTATTGATACATCCACAAACAGAAGATGCAAGCTCATTGGCTCCAATCATTTAAAATAAACATCGACTTTAGACATTTCCAATTAATCCGAACCATTCAGGAAGTTATTCGCGACCATTTAAAATATTTTAAAAATCTGAAATATAGTTTCATTAAACCACCCTATAATTTTGCTTGCATGGACCCCAGTCCAGAACCATCAAAATGGACTAAAAGCTAGAAAGATCTTACGTCACTTTTTAATTTCCTCAATTTTTGTTTCTAATATATTGGAACTTGGAAAGAATTGTGATTTCAAAAGCTACTGGAGAAGAAAAAAACTTGCGAAACTGATATTTCCACCTTGCTGCACCACCGGCTCCTAACTCCTAAGAAGAGACCCTATAGATCACCAATTCAACAGAAAAAAAAATGATGAATTAAGGTATCAATTTATAACTGAAAAGATAGTTGTATTTGTTCTTTGTGAATAAATTTATATAGATGATAATAAATTAAATATTTGGAACCTGAGATCTTGCTCTTTGAAGCTCCTCTAACTGCATGAATAAGTTTTATCTTACTAGACTGAGACTCTAGCCGTTGTACATAAGCCAACAAACAGAAAATATTTACATAAAAAAGAAATGGATTTCTGGGGTTCTAGAGTATTCTCGGTTGGAATCTCCATGCTATTGCTAATTGATGGACATTATCCCCAATCTTTTCCATCCTCTTCAAAATTTCCTCAGCTAATTGATGGAGATCTATGCATTAAAGTTATAACTACTGAGGAATCATAGGTGTAATTGGATTTGCAATGAGTTCAATAGATTGTTTCTAGGATTAAATCAATAGTTCATTCTTTAATAGACAAACAAAACCATCAAATAACATCTCACAAGAACCAAAAAACAAACCATAATAGTAAAATATTAAAAAAAGTTAAATATACATTCCAACAATAAAGCATCTCAATTAAATATCCTAAGCAATTGAATCCATAGCCTATGATTGACATGGCCACATCCTATAGAATCCAAACAATCTACCCAAAGCTGAAGGCATCATTAAGAAATGGGTAGAACTATCTCAATAGGTTTCTTGTCCACCTACAAACATGAAAAAGGACCAAAATTAAATAATTGATGAACAATAAATCAAAGCAAAAAATAAATAATGTACCAATAAGTAATAATAAGTAGAAATCAAGTGTAATATACCTTTTGTTTTTCTTCACCCAATGAAGGAGATGAATCCAATCCCTTTTACAAATCAGAGCTTGAATAGTCTCTAGAGTCAAAGATGCACGGTAAGAATCAATTACCCTACCACCAGCATTGAATGTAGTTTCTGAAGCTAGTGTGGATATTGGAATGGCAAGAATCTCAATTGCCATCTTTGACAATACCCGATATTTCAAATTATTTGCCTTCCACCATTCCAAAGCATTAAACTCATAATGTAACATTTTTTCCTCACAAATATAAACACCTTCTTCAAGGTACAAATCCAACTTGCTTTACATAACTCATCAATTTTGACCATCCTGAATTTGTTGATGACTGGGAGTTGGAACTAGAACTTGTAAAAAACCTATTGCTACCATTCCCTTTAGTGGAGAATTGCTCACTGCTAGAAGCATTATAAGTAGTTACATATTCATCATGAAGCTGGTATAAAGCCCCTCGAACCTGCTCAATGTTCCTTCTAAAGCTTCTGGATATATTTCTGGAAAACACATCAACCAACCTCAATTTACACCTCAAGTCCAAAATGGAAGCCATTGCCATTAATAGATTACATTCACTCCAATGCTTATCAAACTTCTCTTTCATCTTCCCAACCATCATTCGAATGAAATCATTTTCATCCATTAACTTTAAGTTCAAAATTTCCTCTATCCTATAGATCTCATCGAGGTGCAAATTAGAAATAGGATAGTCATTACCAGAAATAATGTTGATAACTACATTGAACACTTCAAGTACCTTACATACTTTCTCCACTTTTCTCCATTTTTCAGGAGTTGTCAAGTAGTCATAATTGGGCTCCCTTTTTTTGAAATCTTAGAAACATACCTCTGAATTTCAAAGCACATGACAACATCTCAAAAGTTGAATTACAATAGGTAGGACAATCAATAACCAACTTACAATTTCAGAAAAAAATTTGTTTCCTACACTCAAACTGGTTAATGTATTTGACACTCTCACTCGCATTTTCTATGATGTAGCCAATTTCACCAAAACCATCTTGAACCAATACATTTAGAATATGTGCACAATATTGCACACGAAACAATTTTCCATCACAAAGAAATTTTCTATTCCTAGAAAATATCTCTCTCAAAAACCTCAAACATGAATCATTATATGATGCATTATCTATAGAAACTGTAAACACCTTATTCTCGAGGCCCCACTCATTTAAACACTTGTAAATTATATTTGCAATATCGACCCTTCAACGTGGTAGTGGGAACATGAATAAAATTGAGAACACGCTTTTATAACCTCCAATTGGCATCTATGAAGTGACTAGTTATCACCATATACTCAATCCTTTGGTTTTGTGACTTCCAAGGATTTGTGGTTATGCTAATCTTCGAAATACACTTTAAAAGATTTTTCAACTTCTTCTTTTGATCCTCATACAAAATTACATAACCGTTCTTTAGTGACTTCTAAGAAATCTTCTCAAAAGCTAGAGTACACATCTTTGTCATGAAAATAAAGCCTTCCTCTCCCACTACAATAAATGGATGCTCATGCATAAGAACCCAATGATCAATTTCTTCTCTCATTTTGGAATGGTTGTACTTTGCGGCAACATTAGGATCTAAGAAAGGAGGACCTACAATTTTTGCATCAACATTGGAATTTACCGGTTGGAAGTTCAAGGTCATTTGCTACTTATGTTGTTTCTCAATTTTTAGAGCCACTTTTCTTGGTATGCATGCTTTTAAATGCCGGCCCATATGACTTGTAGCTCTAGTAGATTCTGTAGATAATATACTCTTGCAATGGACACACTACACCTTCTTTGCTCTATCATCAAATTTTACCTCTTCGAAGTCCAACCATACACCTGAAGTTTTTTGTCTTTTTGACTTCGTTATTGGACCATCTCCCTGAACTTCAATAGGACTCTAAGATCTAGTCTGAGTACCACTATGGTAGAAGGTGCACTTGCAATGGGATTGTTTGCATTATTTGCTATCTGACTTGTCTCATTTAGTGAGGAATCATTGATCGGTAGTGCCAACCATGGTGATAGGGGATGGACCAGACACAAAATGAGAGAGCGAGGGTCCTATAGAAGTTGAGGGAATATTTGTTGATGAAAAATTGTGATCATGAATGGGGATGATGACATCCCTACATTTCAAAATGGTTAGTTACCATTTGATCGTTCTAATCCTTAATATAAATTATTCAATATGCTAGGATAAGGATATTGTATACTATTAAAAAATTAAACTAAAAAGAATTAGAATGTTATATGCATGAAAGTGCAAATAGGTTGAGTATAGGTTCTGGTTCAGATTTGCACAACAGACAAACACACCATGTGGCCCTTAG